GTGCAGCAATCCATCACGATGGATGGGTAGAACCCCTCCATCGCGCTACACGTGTTGTCGTCAATGGTCGTGGTTGGAGTGCGCGGTTCGGTAGTGTCGCGACGTCGACAGTCGTCATCTTCGTGCGCGTGTGGTTTTAGTGTGCTGTGACAGTACAAGGCAGGTGAAACTTTATTGTGTCAGCAATCCACCTGCTAGTTTTTTTTTTTTTTCATTGTGATTAGTTTCTCATTGGAGCAGAGATCGTAAATCTGCTCCAAAGCCTTGTCTATTAGGCCACTCCACGACACGTCAGGAATGAAATAGAAGGCAGGTGGAGTCCGTCGTTGCTGTGGTGCGCTTCGAGGGTGGACAGTTGGACTCCTGTTTTCGAATTCCGCGTCAATATTCATTTGTGGAAGAAATGTATGTAATTGAAGTCTTATTTTCGAAATCCATCTCTGCCAGGGGGAGTCGGTGCAAAGGAGCATGCGGCCTGTCGAGTCTACCACTCGCCTGTTCCCAAAGAGAAGTGGGTGCGCCACCTCCTCCCATCGTTCCGGTTCTGTTTTATCTGGGGGGGGCAGGCTCCTCCATGTCTTAAGCAAGGATGACCAGAAGGGGTCATGACGCAAGTCATCTCTAGCTGCTTGCTTGGGGTAGTCACGACGCGGGGCAGTGTGCTGCCTCCTTATTCGAGGGATAAGCCACTCTCTATTTTCCAACCACATCAGCGGGTCTGTTCCCTCGGGTACCTGCGGTGCAAGGCGTGCAATTTGTTCCAAAGCCAACCGTCTCCAGGGGACCTCCGGGTTGAAAAGGAGGCGTTTGAGCCATTGCAGAGCCAATGCCTGGGTTTGCAGCAGGGGGTCAATAATACCCAACCCTCCCCTGGTTTTGGGTTGGATGAGGGCGTGCCAAGCGACCCGGTGCAAAACATTTTGTCGTTTGTGATCCCCACACCATAAGAAGGCGGCAATCTGGCGTCGCAGCGGACGCAGGGCGTTCTTGTCCAGGGCCCAAATGACCGATTTATACCACATGGATGCTAGAACAACATTGTTGATGATTAGGGCGCGACCAAACAACGAGGTGTGCTTATCCCTCCAAAGGGCCATTTTGGCCAGTGGGGGCGATGAGATCCACTTGTTACATGTCGTTGGTCTACCTTCCGCTGTCATGGAGATGCCTAGCACCCGAATGGGGGCCTCTTTGGGGAGCCAGTTAATCCTGGGTTGTTCGGGGGGTCTCACTCCTTGATGATGTATCCACCAACCCAGGGTTTTGTTCCCCCAGTTCACTCTCATGTCCGACAGTGCGCAAAAGCGGT